CCAGTGGCGAGTTCGAGCCAGAAACAACGCAATTATTCGACCTGTAATACTAATTTTAAAAAACAGGAGAGCTTCATGCAAATCGCCAGTGAAAAAAGTAGAAATGCAGAGGGGTCGCTGATTCTGACCGATACTACTGCCCATATCCCTAGTGTTACAAGCAGACACAGAATAAAAGGGTTCTTTTCAATGGGACGCTTCATTTCGCGATAATGAAACCTTCTAGCCCACTTGATTATCGGAAATAAAAAATCTTTTCATGAAAACTCCCCTCTACCAATTCTTTATTGCTTTCAAATCCTGCACATGAGGTACGGCATGGCACTGAAGTGCCAAATAGAAATTGCACCGAAACATTCCAAGCTCAAATTTCTCTCACCCCATGACAAGATGGCTGAGTGCAGGTAAGAGCACTGTATAACTATGCTAATTTATGCCCCGTTCTGTTTTAAGATTGCCCTCTATTCCCAGGGCGGCTGGCACAAGTAATTTGCGTAAAGGAGAAAACAATGAAATGAAAAAGTTGGAGGAGAAGAAGGAAGACTAAGGCTAGACAATTACCCTGAGAAGCCCTTTCCTCTCCGTTCTTCCTCGCCCCCTTCTCAGGAGTAACCGTAAGAAAAAAACAGAACAAATAAAGAAATGAAATAAGTAGAATCGATACTGTGTTCCCGGTGAAGGGGAGCAAGCTCTGTCCACGTGGGGTCCTTCCCGCCTTTTATCGATGATCCATCAATACCCGATCATCTAAGTGTCGACCAATGAGGGGCTCTTGGTGGTCTTTGGCTCATTATGGACATCCCACAATCAGCCAAGGACCAAAGTTTAAAGTTCAACAGGAGGGTTCTCGACTACGTGACGAAAAGGAGTTTGCACTGAGGGGAGGGGAAAAACGACAAAATTCTTCACTAATCATCGATTTAACACTCGATTCAATCACCACATTGATCAGTGCACTACCAGAAAGTAAACAAATATACATCTATCTGCCAGTTTTCATGAGGACAAATAACGATGGTTCCCGGGCTGCTACTTGGGCCTGTCTGGAGTGGTCTCGGAGATTGAGGTTCATTCACAGCTACTGTCACGTAACAGGTAGTCTACGCTGCAGTTTTAGATAGTTGTATTCTGTAGTCCAAGTTCGTACCCACCCGTATCATTGACTCGCTTTGCGCTCGCTA